CTTTTTATTCTACAGGGCCTGTTTTCAGAAAATATATCATTGTTTGGGGTCTGAAGCTGTTTTCTAGCCAAAAATTCTGATTTTATCATGTGTGTGCAAATGTAAGACATTGCCCCAGGCAGCAAGTGGTTAAAGGGCCCCCTGGAGTCAGCTACACTGGTCACCAATGGGGAAACCATTTTTTGTTTTTTTGGAATACTTGCTTATGTGGCTCATTGGTTTCATCTAGGGTTGCCACCTGTCCAGGATTCACCCGGACAGTCCGGGTTTTGAATGCTGTGTTCGGGTTTCATGGCAGCAGAAACTTGGAAACAAGATGTCAGGCAGACAGGCAACCAAAATTAAGATAGGGGCTACTGCCCCCCCGCTGAAAATAGTCTCGACTGTGATATTTACATATGAATAAGCCACAACTCATTCACCCAAAAAAATGTCTTTGCGTCGCTAGAATGTTCGGGTTCTGCTTTATAAAAAAAATGGTGGCAACCCTAGTTTCATCACAGCAGTCCTTCCGCAAGGATGCACACCACACACCGAGGGACAAACCTACAAAGGTTTATATGTGTGAAGGTCACATCAGAATGTAGGCCACTGTTAGAATACACTGCAGTCTACTGTTCCGTGTTGTCCAATAACACTCTCAGCCAGGATCCTTGATCACCTTTGTTACCATCTTGGTCCCTTTTCCACTGCTTTTCCCACACAAACAAACACGGCCTTCTTCCTTTGTGTCACATGATCCGCTTTTTGTCCCTGTTTACACAACACGCAGCTGAAGCTTATTCTTCTCCACATCCGATGACTGTTGTGGGTAAATAATGAAGATGAATCTGTCCACAGCTCCAGTTCCTGAGCTCGGTGAAGGATAATGCCTTGTATGCATCCAAATGGAGCAAATGTACACCACGTGCCCGGCCTTGTGAAAGCAACATGTTCACATACAATAACCTCACCAAACAAACTGAAAATAGAAGCCATTGTAGTGCAAGCAGACCCTAGCTACACGCACTGCTGTACTAGATTGACAGCACTGCTTCCGTCAGTCATTGTGAGCTGCAGTGTCTCGGTGGGGAGCATATGAAGCACACATGGAGAATTGTGATCACTTGGTAAGGGAAGGCTCTTATGATGATCCAATGTTTTTAATAATTGAAATCAGTTACCAGGAAAAGCAAATCCACCATTTTGACTTTTCTTGTTGTAGGGCAGCCACCTCCTCTGATGGCACCACTGTAACCCAAGACAGAGTATTGGGTTACAGTGCACTGAGCACACTGAGGGCTTGTTCACACCAAAAGCGTGTGCGTTCCAGAGCGGTAGCTGCTGGAACACACCACGATCGTTTAGGAAACATCCACCGCGATCGGGGGCGTGGCGGTGCATGGCGCGGCGATGCATTGAATTCAATGGCACCGCTTCCACGCCAGCCCACAGTGCGATCGGACACGTGGCTAGACTTTGCCAGGGTTCCGTTCCACGGCAAGCAAAAATTAGAGCAAGCCCTACTTTTTGCGTTTCTTTCGGTGTGAACAAGCACTTCGAATAGTACAAAATTATGTTATTGATGTGTAAACATTATGGTCAAAAAAAAGAAAAATGTTGTTACCGTTTGACCATAATGTTCAACCTTCAATGAAGGCGTTTTGGACCAAGATCCTCAGTGTGCCGTGACACTCTGTCTGGGTTTGAATTTCCAGAGACTAAAGGTGCCCCTACACCCTACGACCATCGGAAGACTTTTGTCGATGGTCGTAAGCTTATTAAAAGCTCGTACAATCTGCCCATCTTGGATAGGCAAATCGTACTTGCGATCATCGAGGGGCGGGCTTCCGCTATCTGCCCCGAGGGGCGGGCTTCCGCTGACTGCAAACGGGCAGTTGTCGAACAAGCAGGCCACTAACCCGCCAAGAATCGTACGATTCTCAGCGGGTTTTCAAGCCTGCTTGGTCGACGGAAGACGTGTGACCGTACAGTAGAAACGGTCACACACCTTCCATACACTGTATGATTATCGTACGATCGCAGGATTTCCCGTACAGAATCGCACAGTGTATGGGCACCTTTAGACAAGATTTTCAACTCAGTTGCTTAAAAGACCAAAATTGCTCAACTACAAATTGAATGAACTTTTCGGAAGTTCATGTCTAGTGACACGCAATTTTTGATAATGTAGGCATCAGTGTAACCTAAGGTTGCTATCTCTAATCTGTGTCCCTCAATCGAGAAAAGTTTTGTCTTTAGATGCATACTATTGATTAGCTTAATGTTGTCATCAATGCATGCCCATGTTTGGATAACCTTGTTTCTATAAAGCCTGGAGGTACTAGTTCCAATCAGAGTCCGCTCGATGCTCCACTTAAAACAGCAGGATACAGCCTCATTCACACAGCTAAAATGTCGGCCCGTACAGATCGATGGGGCGTGCATGGCCGTTCCTGGAAAGGACAGGTGCTGCGTGTGATTGTACGCAGCAGCCTGTTATTCCCTATGGGAGGATGCGTCCATACGCTCGCACAAACTGCATATCCGTGCTCGGCCGCAGACAGGATCCATCCCATCTGTGTACGGGTACGGATACAAGCACGGATGAGCGTAAAGCCGCGTTCTCCCATAGAGAAGAACAGGCTGCTGCGTACAAATCACACGCAGCACCTGTCCTTCCTGGGAACGACCCGATACGACCGTGAACACCGCATGGATCTGTACGGGCCGACATTTAGCCGTGTGAATGAGGCCTAAAACCGGATCCACAGCCTTGCAGCTCTCTAGACTGGGCAATCCTTAGACCAGGGATCTCAAACCACCAGCCCTCCAGCTGTGGTGGAACTACAAATCCCATGAGGCATTGCAAGATTCTCACAGCCACAGACATGACTCCCGAAGAGATGCATCATGGGATTTGTAGTTTCAGCACAGCTGGAGGGCCGGAGGTTTGAGATCCCTGCCTTAGACAATAGTCACTGGGTGGCTCCAAAGGGGAGGTTACACCCTAGAAAACACATACACCATTATGCACATTTGAGGCAATCACATTCTGCTGCTTCAATTGGGAAGTTGGACAGGCCTATAGATTCGAGAGGGATTGACTCCAATGGATTTTATGTTGTAGACTCCTGTCAAGGTTTGCAAGTGCATATAATTGTGAGTAATACAAGGGAAGGAGGAGTTTTCACAATGCTTGTTATTTTATAGCAGAACCTTCTTTAGATATACATTTTTACATGGAGGCACACAAGAGCCCATTGAATCGCTAAAGCTGGCCACACCTATAGATTATCTGCAGATTATCTATGGTCAGATGGATAAACTGCAACAGATTCCTCCATCTACGCTAAACTGTGTGTATGGAGGAATCTCCCACTGGGCCGAGCTTCAGTATCTTGCTAGTCGGCCCCGCTGGCTCTCAAAATACCTGAACAATGCCTGCATCCAATCAGATTGTTCAGGTATTGGGGCAGCCAGCGGGCCGACTAGTAAGATACTGAAGCTTGGCCCAGTGGGAGATTCATCCATTCACACAGTTTAGCGTAGACGGAGGAATCTGTTGCACTTTCCCCATCTGACCATAGAAAATCTGCAGAAAATCTATAGGTGTGCGGCCAGCTTAAGGCAAGGCCCAGTGATGCTGGGCATTCGCTTGCGTCAAAGATTCTGCCCTCCCCACACAGGTCAATGGGAACATGAATTCCAAATGGTCTCAGAAGCATCTCTAAAAGCATGCTGCCTTACTCATGTATTTCAATGTCTCCCACCACCCTGGTTCTCATTCCATTCACCCATTAACACTAGCTCCTAAATCATTCTGTACAGGAGATTGGTCTTGAACACAGCTTACTGAATAGAACAATTCATCTTGTGGTCTTAACACTTCACAGGATTTGCTTGAACCGCCATTTTCTGAAACACTAATCTCAGCTCAATGGCAACTCCCTCGTCTGACTGTATTCTGATCTTACAAAAGGTTCAGTAGAGAATGGAAAAATGAAGCATTGAAAACAAAAACACAAAGCTTTAATAAAATGAATTTGGGCATTTTACATCATCTTTTACTTAGCCTTTAACATGAGGTACAAAAATTTATTGTTATAAATAACATTAACAAAAATATATAAAAGAATGTGCAGGATGTTTTCCCAAGAAGGGGGAGAAAAAAAACCTCATTAGACACCCGATTCCTTAAAGTGTCACTCCGGCCAAACTATTTTCAGTTTAAGGTACAGCGGGGAAGGTTGCTAATGTCATGTTTTTACCGCCATTTGAGTCTTCCTCACTTCCTGTCACAACCTTGTTACCAGGACGCAAGGAAAAAACACCATGTTACAAAAACACAACAAAAAACAAAACACATTAGTAAGGGCGATACTAGACCATTAGCTTTTAACTCCCCACTGAATGACACGGGACAGGATATAGCAGGAATTCTCCTGAATGGGGCCAAACACCTCACTAAAAGCCTGATGGAATCTTACCCCTTTCCTACTCTGTCCAGAACTTCATTTTGGTCTGGAACATTTTGAACTAGGTTTACCAGCAGAGTGAGTTTTAAAAAAAACATTACGTGATTCTGCCTCAATCACGGGTGCAAAGTCTTCTCAGTGTGACCACAATGCAAGGCACTAAAAAGAAAAATATCAATTTCCTAAAGACATCCAAAAACTTCACAACCAACTTACAAGTTGAACTGTTGATCCAGTGTTAAAAAGGACTTGTATTTACTACAGAAAACATCCAAGAGCTGCTCAAATACCAAAATAAAGGGGGGGGGGGGGGTTAAAAACAAAATGGCATGTGTAGAAAACAAAATTTATAGCAACTGAAAATTCAAAGCTACATCTTGAGTAGTGGGGCTAATATCAGTTTTAAAAGTTTGAACCTGACCACAGAAGCCAAGATTAAAAGGTAAAGTCTTTGCAGGATGGACAGACGAAGGCACACGGCTTAAACCTCTTCTTGACATCTTAAAAAGGTTAAACAAGGCTGATCCAGTCCAAAGATTACAGCTTGTAGCAGGCACTGAGCTTGTGGGGTCTAGTAGTCTTTTGTGGCATGAGGCCAACAATGTGCTAAGGACTGTGTCGAGAGCTCTAAAGAATATTACATGCCGGCGGCCATATATACAAAATAAGGCATACGTTCTTCAGTACTTGCTAAGCACAAAATCAAAATTGACCAGTGTGGGTTTGTGTTTAAGGCGATGGGTTACGAGTTCCATTTGGACAGATCACAACTGCCCGCCCTGAGACCTTAATCGTCTTCTCCTCCGTACATATCTGCCAGCTTCCGGAAGCGGGGCCCCCAGTTGTTCAAGCAGTCATAGTCCTGGTCAAGGTCGGAATTGGAGGAGTTCAGAGAACTGAGGGAAGCAGCCTCTGACCCGCTGCCTTCGTAATCAAAGACGAGGAGAGAGTCGTAGGGTGGAGCGGTGGGGTCATTATCTGCGGCGATCAGATTCTGAAAGAAACAACGACAAATTAGACTAATAAAAACGGAAGTTGGCTTTAACGATAATTTGCAATTGTGCGTCAAAGGCTGCAAATATCTAATGGGCAGCAGAAATAGAATGAGGCTTCCAGGAGACAGGAGAACATTAAGCTCGGAATGTTCTGTCAGCTTCTTCAGAGGTAATTTTTGCTGTTAATGAGGCAGAGAATCCATTAAGCAGTTTCCAGTCATAAGCAGCCCTGGACATCTCCCTGTAATGTCCACCCAGAGGAAATGGAAATTTAACCCTTGAATACCAGGTCCAGTTATGTGTACTAAAGTCTTTAAATCCAGTGTGTAAAGATTGGACCATTCAATGTTAAAGAGGGGGGTTTAAAACAGTTTCCGCCGTGCCTCTAAAGTGCAACCTCCATGCCGTTTCTTTATACGCACACTATTAAGTGCTTTTGCCGTGTGATACCCAACAGTATTTCCTGTGAGCAAGAGAGACCATGGATATAACTACCTTTGTTTAATCTGCCACCCATCACCCCAGAGCAAAGTGATTGTCTTTCTAAAGTACACCCCATCCTACTTATACCCACCTCTCCTCTACTGCACGCCACTTCATTCTCTCCTCAGGCGATAGTGGTCAAAGATGGCAAATGGCCAGTATCTTGTGGCAGCTCAGACAAATGCAGTAGCAGAGGAGCATGGCAAAAGAAGGTGGGTCAAGGGTGGGCTTTAAAGATACTGTCACTAACTTACAAATTGCCCCACAGAAAATAGTATATTTCAAATGCTTACTTGCAGTGTCTTCCTTCCCATCAACAATTTTTTATTTTTTATTCAACTGCAATTTGCCTTTGAACTTGCTAGGGAATCCAACCATTCCATGAACAGTCACTTGCCTAGCACAGGCCCAGTTCCCACCCTTTGAAAGTCATAGACCTGCCCTCCTCTTCTGTGAGTGTCTGATTACTGTCCGTGCTGGAGGCTTTTACACGTACATATGCATAAAAAAAGATTAAATGCACAAATATCCTCATGGGAAGATTGTTGTTTGAATAAATCCTGTGACAGGGTGCCTTTTAAAGACAGAAGACTGTCACTTTGCTCTGAACAAAGAATGTGGCAGACGCGGTAAACAATACTGTTACAAGAGTGCAAGCACAAAGTGCATTGATATACTTAAATTACAATTGTGCATCCCTTCCAACAGTGCACATGTAAATAGCAACTGACCTATGCAACAATGCCTGGGTATGGCCATAAGTCACAGAAACACTGAACACTGCCTTGTAGGATGCAGGTAGGGGTGTACCTACGTTACCCCGATCTGGACACCCATGTATGCGGACACTAAGAGGGTTGCTTAACAGGGATCCACAGGGAAACAAAACTTGTTACATCACCTTATACAAGGTGCGCTGGCATTCCCAAGGTCCATAATCAGGACCCATCTGGTGTTCAAGAATCAGCTAGCTCAAGCTAACAGATATTCTCAAGCGCCGCTGAATCAAGAGGTGAGCATTTCACCTCTGCAAATACCTTTAGAAAGCCATGTGTCTATACAATTACGGCAAAGCAGTGCAGCTGCTTTGCTTCAAAGAATAACTCACCTCATCAATAAAGTTCCCGATTTCATTGGGGTTTGATGGCCGTGGTCTGTAGTGTGGTGCCGGCATCAAAGTGGGGACCACGTCGTTCCTCATGACGTCAGGTCGAGCATCTAGGCCTCGGTGGAGCTGACTCAGATCATAGTCCTAAAAAAAATAATTTGAAAAATCTTTGTACCAATGTAAAAAAACTTGTTTTTGTAGTAAGATCTTCCATACCCTCAAATATTTAACAGCAATCCTTTGTATAGCTTGATCAACCTACCTGATCTTCCTCACCACCACCCTCTTCTCCATAGTAAAATATATTGTCCCTGGTATCCTCTTCTGGGAGCAGTAAGGGTTCCTTCACCACCTTCTTCCTCTTCAAGAACAGCAGCAACAGTAGAATGAGAACTGCAATGGAAGCAAAGTATTAACAATCTGCTCAGGTGCATGAACATAAAAGTGTGCTGCCAGGACCAACTTATTCTGATAAAACACAGAACTGAAAAAGAATCTGCATCTCTTTAGACCTACCACAGTGATCAAGAGGTTAATGAATGCAACAAGAAAAGGCAACAGCACTAAAGGGTATGTTACTGGCATAAAACATAACTAGTGCTGCTTGCGGAATCTGTCATACAGGTGACTTGATCTGTAATTGCACTGAACAAAGTGGCCCAGTCATGAGGGAGGTACAGGGACATCCATAGCATGCCTCAAACATTGATTCTGTCTGTCCAGCCATTACTGGGAATCACAGACCCCAAAAATAGCATGCTGTAAATGAATGTCAGAATACCTCATCTTTAATTGTTAGGAGAGACTATACTAAAAAGTACATTTCCACTTCTGCAGCCAAAATTGGTATAACACCTATTTTATATTACATGTTCCCATTCACATAGTATACATGAAAAAAAACGAAAAAGGACCATGAACTTATAGTAGAACTGTTCCCCGGACTGTCCCCTTTAAATAGCTGACATCAGCGGCTCACAAGCCGCAGATGACCACTATCAACAAAAATACCGGGCGCACTGATAGTGATTTTAGTGTGCTTTATCAATTGAATTGCGTATTTTTATCTGTTTAAAAAAGGAGAACTATGAGGTGAGTGCTTTTCACTCATCCTCATAGTTCGAGCCGACATGTGATAATTAAACTGTCACATGTCGGCTCAATAGATCGGGAAGCGAGCGAACACATACCATCGCTGGCTCAGGTCCCTGCAGAGAGCCGCGACCGTCACTCACGGATCCCTGCAGGGATCCCCCCTCCCCTCCAGCGCTGACTGACGGAACGGATGGGTGAGGGGGCGGGTACAGCTGGCTCTGCCTCTAGATAGGCAGAGCCAGCTGTCAATCACGCAGATGGGTGGATCAACAGTAATGACGGGATCCGTCTCGGCTGCTGCAGTCTCAGTATACCGTGAGCTGTAGCTCTGGTATACTGAGCTTTGGGTCACGGGAGGACGCTAGTTTGTATTCTCCCGTGACCCTTAGGAGAACTATGGGAAAAAACACTGACCCCATAGTTCTCCAATATTAATTTGAGAAACACTTGCGCAATTATCGCAGGGCCTACAAAATTTAGTAGCACCCTCTTTTTATTCTACCGGGCCTGCGCTTTCAGAAAATATGGTTTGGGGGGTCTTTTACAAACCGTAGCAACGCAGCAGTTGAAAATCAATGGGCAAAATTGCAAAAATGGAGTGGCCAGCTGAGGTGCAAAATGTTAGAGGGTTTGGCAGCGAAAGGGTTAACTTGGGTAAGGGTATTAAGGGTTAACATTTTTTCACATGCAAGGAGGGGCTGTGATGAGTGAGGGGTCTTGTCCATTCTGAGCTGGCTTGTCAATTGTATGTTAATGAAGCTCAGCAGATAAAAACACAATCCTCAAATTCTAGTCCCAAGTCTTTCTATTTAGGACAGACCAATGAAAGTTCCAAGACAGACCTGGAATCAGCCATCTTGCCTTTTAGATGTTTTATCAGGCAAGATTTTTTTTAAAAAATAAGTTAATTTTCAGTGTGCTGTGTGAATAGGGACAGAGGGGTTTTCCTAAATTTGACTGCAAAAGTGGAAATACACTTTTACCTTTACAGGAAGTCAAGAGTTGCATTCACCATCAGCTGCCTCGTCTATTAGGAATTGTGACATGCTGTCTTTGCAGAAGATATTTGCTAAATAATTTATTTATCACATGTTCAGTTCAAATTGCCCTGGCTTGCTTTTAAAATAATAAGTCAGGCAGCCAGCTCATTTTAGGGACCCCAAAATCAAAATGAGTACCAAACAATGTTATATTCAATACACAAGGGCAATCTTTAAAGCTATTTGTCAGCTTTTGATTACAAAAAACTGGTTGATTGCATGAAGGCAGCCGATCAATAATACCAATTATCGGCAATAGGCTGTCTCCAGTCCATAGTATTCACTACTTTCCATAATCCTGACAAGGCAAGAAAAGGAATAAACTAAAAATCAATGTAGTCGGAACTTACTTAGCAGAGCTAGAATGGATCCAAGAATGACCAAGATCACAGGCAGATCGACCCCTGCAATGATTTTGTCGTAATTACAGTTGACAGCCTTCCCTTCACAGTTGCAGATCGTTGCGTTTACCACCGTGAGTTGGGCTCGCTTCTGAGCATCGTATAAACGAACGTACAAGATATAGTCCCCAGTCTTCAGCTCTTCTTTGGGAACGAGAGTCATGGAAGCTAACAGACAAAATAAAATGGTTAATGCTTCATACTTACAACACTCAGTGTTACACACACGCATTTGACTAGCAGGTAGCAATAAATGGCCAGCAGCAGAACTTGATATAGATTAAAGCAAAGGAGCACTGAAGTCCTAGGCTCAACGTAAAACATACAACTGTGGGTGGCAGCAGGAAACTATACAAACTTGGGGGAGAACATAAAATCCCCAAGTAGACATCCAGTTACACACCCAGCTACACAAGTTTGTGTGTTTGTTCCACAGTCCAAGCACATACTGAATCTAGTTGGTGATCACATACAAGTCTTGACATAATGGTACAGACGTTTGACTGTAAGCTACAAGCCAGGGAGTGATTGCATTATTTGGGACATCACCCCCTTGAAGGTCAATTCTAGCCAAAACTTTATTTGTACTGGAGTGTAAAAAAACAGAAGTCTTTTTGCAGACGAAACAAATGAATTCATTTGTTTCGTCAAAGGAAACACATTATGTGGTTTTGGACTCAGAGGCAACGAGCCTCCGAATCTGAAACGGCACACTGAAACTGCAGAACAAGTGGTGGCCAACTGGAGTAGATCGTGGTAGTAGTCTGCCGTTCTGGAGTAGATCTTGGTTTACAGCAAGATGGAGGTGCCCCCATGTTTGAGCGCCGCCATCTTGGTGTAGACCTAGATCTACTCCAAAATGGCTGCGCAGAACATGCCAGCCGCCGCTCGTTCAGCGCACGACGTCACAGTCATACACCCTGCCTCTAAGATGGCGGCGGGCATGCACAAGAACATGCTAGTGGCCAATATGGCCGCTGGCGTGTTCTGAAAACGAATTCCTGCATGCCCGAATATCGTTGTAGTATATTCGGGCATATATTAAATTGGTTATATCAGATTCGGACTAACCGCCAAATCAACTGATTTTTGTTTGTCCGCATCCACATGTCTATAGCCCATGTTCCCCATTGGGAACATTTACCCATGCTTCATGTACTGTTTAAAGTTGTGCGTGTCACTTTTGAAAGATGCAGAGAGCAATAAACGGACAAACGCTTCCGCAATGTACTTAACGTGCTTTCGTTGCCATTTCTGTCCCCTTTAGAGATGTCCCATCACTTCCTGTCATTAGTGCAAATGCTGAGACAGACCTCACAAACTTAGATTATAACCTTTTTACCCACCACCCCCAAACAAGTTTTGCTGGGGTTGGATTTTAAGAAGCATCAGCAACAAGCTTATTTTCAGTTTATTTCCATGTACACAAATTACCTGTTCCTTTCATCTCAGCCGCCCAGGTGAGTTCAGATCCATGGGTCAGCTCTACATCATAGGGATAGGTGTTTGGAGGAAGGTCAGCATCACTAACTGTCAGCTCAAAGGGCTCTGGGTTCCGGCTGCACATTGTGAAGGCTCGTGGACTGGGGGCAGGACCATTGTCATTCACATCAAGCACCTGCAAGATGAGTGTACCGGTGCCAGTGGCAAATGGAATACCTGTTGGAACAGAGAAACAATTACAGGTAGGAGATATTTCTGCAGCAGAAAAAAAAAAAAGTATGGAAATGGCTACAAAAAAGGGAAAAAAAAAAAAGTAAAAATTCTCTACAAAGACAACAAAGGAAAGTCATGAGGCTCTCCTACGACTCAGAAAAATCTATTTCTAATGGACTTCTGAGCTCTTTATTGCCATAGTTCAACCCAGGGAATTATGTCATCCTCTGATTCAAGTAAATGGCAATTGGCCTATGCCTAGCCAAGGACAACAGATTTATATAGAGCGTCAACCTTTTACATCTCTGCAATACATGAACTTTTTCCTATCCCATTTAAATGCTTTTAAATATGCTGCACTTCAGAAAAATAACCTGATATGCTAGAAAAATAGGGTGCTCCCACCTTCCTCTTTGGGATAACTGGGTATTCTTGGCTCTGAATTTCAAAGCATGTGGTGTCAGCCCTGCCTATTTTATTTCTGATGCATTACAAAGAACAGTGCTGTTATCTCCCTCCTCTCCCTACATTCTCCATAATCCTACTTGTACACCGGTTCAAAGCACAGAAGTTCAAGATTTATGACAGGTTTTTGCACTTCTAGAACAAATGTACTAAAAAACATTAATATTTAGCAGATCAAAAAGGCAGCAAGATAGAGATTTTTTTTTTTTAGGGTTTACACATACATGTTTAAACCCTCACAAATCCTGTGTGCTGAAGACCAAGAAAACTCACTGCTAAGCATCAGACTGGGAATCCCATTGTGTGCCAAAGTTTAACTATAAGGCTCTGTTCAAAGCTAGGCGTATCGAATATGCGTGTTTGTCGCGCGTTTCGTGACACGCGTTACCACGATTTGCGGTAAAAAAACATGCGACAAAAGCGCGTTTCCGAGGGCTACTTGGCTGTATCCCAAAGGAAACTCGCGAAAAAAACTCCGCAAAGAAGCTCATGTACCTTTTTAGGCGTAGGCCGTTTTGTAGCGCGTTCAGACGGGCTGAAATATGGCAAGGTGTGAACCATACCCATAGAAAACAATGAGATTTTCATGTTTGAGCATTTTGTAGAGCGTTCGTAGAGCGTTGAACGCGCTACAAAACACACAGGTGTGAACCAAGCCTTAAGTAGGACATTTACAAAGGAATTGAAAATTTACTGTATGTACTCCGAGGTTAGAAGTAGACTCTTACCATCATCAATCACCATCATAATGATTGTGTAAGTGTTATTCTTGACATAGTCCGATTCTCTGTCCAGGTTGCCGTTGCCAGTGACAATGCCCGTGTCTTCATTCACAGAAACCCACTTAGCTGGATCATTCCCAATTTTGTACCTAAATAAAAGTGGGGAAAGAATTTAAGTAAATCAGAAAGGAGAAAATGACTAAGAGGGCCAAGGCACATTGCTGTCTTTTAAGGAAAGAAGTGGAAAATGAGGCACCAGAGCAAGACAATTTTATGGTGTTTAGGTAAAAGGGACCCCATTACATTTGTACCCTACTGCTTAGAGTGGGCAGCTAAATAAAAACGACAAACACTTCTGTTAAGTGCTGGTCACATCATTTGTTACTGTGATCTGATTTGACAGAGGGGTGTAAGGTTTTGTGTAACCATTTCAGCTCACCCATGTTCCATTTATCCACGGCAATACTTGAGACCTGTCAACCCGCCCATGCAAGGCAAAGTGACAGTATGTGTTTAAAGGGCCCCCATTTTCAAAAGGGCAACAATCCAAACTAGCCTAAATGCTCCTCTGCAACTGGCTCAGAAATGCCTGGTCTTTATGATCCAGACGAAGGGGAGATATCACTTGTTCAGCGAGGCCTAGCAATTGGCTTCTAGACCCAAGTCACAGAGGAGGTGGCCAAATCTTCATTCATACCCGGTAATTCCCGGTACTGCTAGGTATTGTCACCAGCTGTGGAGGAGGAAACTGCAGCAGAGGAGCACTTTGGAGTATAATAGGGTTAGGGGATGTTCTTTGCATGGGCAAGGTGGCAGTGTCTCAGACACTTGGAGACATGTACTCCAATGTTAGAGGACAAGCTCCTTTAAGGTTTTATAATGGAGCCAAACTTAGGTTTGCAAGCAGAAAATGCTGGTCAACCTAGTCCTGGTTTTAAAAATAAACCTGCAAATTCCATCATACTCAAGTGTTTTAAAGCCATCAGGAGCATGTATGATTCAACATCTCATCATTGTTGGAAATTAGTTATATTGGAAGAAGGGAGCTACACAGCCTGCTCAGTCTCCTGACAACCCATGGAGCAAAACTCGCCAGGGCAACCGGCTACTAACTTGTCAGTTTCCCTCACAGATGACTCAAGTCTGTTAGCTGGAAATTTGACTTAACAGCATAGAAAGAAGGATAATTATCTGGTAACCGATTCATGTCCTAATCAGTATACAAGATTTTTGCCGATTGCATTTTTAAACTGTAAAGGAATAGAGCCGGTAAAACTGCATAATCATCACAATGACAAATCACGGCTTGAACTATCTTGCTTTGCATGTAATGAGTCTATCTCATATATTATTTTCACTTTTTAAGTTGCATTAGTGAAATAAATGAACTTTTGCACGATATTCTAATTATTAGAGTTTCACCTGTATATCCAGTCGGATTACAGAAAGTTGCAATATATGCAAGAACTTTGTATTGCTACAAAAGTTTAGTAGTCATTGTATATGGTTTTATGGTCATGCTTACCTGAGTTTCTGGTTCTGTTGCTTATCAGGGTCCTGAGCAACCAGCGCAATGATGTTCTTCCCAAGAGGAAGGTCTTCCGATACTGCCTCCCGGCTGACAGTAGGAACAAAGAACGGGGCCTCATTCACATCCTCCACGTTTACAGTGACTGTGGCCGTTGCTGTCGGCAGGGGGACAGTAAAAGGTTCCTCGTTCTCCGCGGTGATCTGCAGAACAAACTGCTTCCTGGTTTCAAAATCCAGACCCTATGGTAGAGAGGTGGAAAAACACAAGACGACATTACAGTTTGCTAGAAAAGTGGCATCAGCTGCTGGCTGTGTTTTTATATATTAAAACTGGTGGAGAAGTTGGAGGACCATGTCATTCAGGCTAGAATGTGGCTAGGATCTTGGACAGTAAGGGGAGGTCACCATGTGTCTAATTTACCAAAAAGTAAGTGGACAAAAAAATCTACAGCAAACATACCATAGTGATGGCAAAGTCGTCTGGTTCCTTGCATAATATGGAGGCAGAGGGAGGGTAACAAAATTTTGGAATGGCAAAACCAGAGAACGGTTTTTAGATTCAGACTCAAAACAAGCAAATTATGAAGATTGTGCACAGAATTTGTATTATATGTCAGCTATTCCAGTATGCTAGATGTAAAAATGCAGCATGAAGGGCACAGCAAGGTCACAGGCACGAGAGAGTCAGGTGGGAGTCAGAAGACAAGACTGCACAATGGTGATTTCTATCCAGAAAAAAACAGTTGTAAGCAGTCACTGTGTATAAGACCCCGAAACAAAAATGTCTAGTGCAAAAACAAATTTTAAAAGGAGGAGTTGTTAAAATCAATACATTAGCTTTCAACACCAGCTTGGTGCAGTTAGCTTTTTGGTACAAAGAGTAATGCTTTACCACAAGGACCCCTTTACAGGATGGATATAATAAAAGGAATACTAAACATGCTCTATACAAACATCTCAGTACCTTGGCTGTAGTAAGGATGCCATCGTTGGTAGCTGGGTCAGTAGTAATTGAGAAAAAGCTGGCATCGGCGCCCTTTATCTTGTAAACCGCTCGCCAAGCAGGAGTGTGGATTTCGTCATCATCTGTTACTGACAGTCTCTGAACTTCAAAGCCCACTTCGTTTTCAGGCACTTGGGCAGTGTACTGTGAGGAGAAAAAAAAAACCCATTAGAACCCAAGAACACAGTTTAATGGAATTTTACATACAACCTTCAACTAAACCTTTAAGTGATTTGGATGGCGTGGAAAACATTAGGTTTTCATTTTTCCTCACTTCCTTTTCCCAGTGACTGCACAGGAAGGGAAAAGGAAGAACTGTAGAGGGGATGGACATCACAAACCTAATAGATTCTCCGTTACCACTGTAAAACTAGTTTATGAAAAGGCCAAAAGAGTTAACATGCCAAGGATGAACGTTTTACATTACTCATTATGACGTGGAATATTGTTGGCTAGAATTACAAGCGACAGGAAATTACACAACTTGTTCTTAAGAGGGTCACCATTACAGCCAGGTAACCTCCATGTTTGTGATTAGGCCCCGATGAAGCAATTCTCAACTCATGCTGCAAGACACGTTCTGAAGCAATAACCGTATACAGAGCTCCAGCCTTGGAGCGTGTACAAAAACACAAGTCAGGAATAGTTGCTTCCATAATGGCTTAGGCAAGTGGGTTTTCTTTAGGACCAATTACATTTCATTCAAAATTTATATGCGCTTTTTGCTAGACTGAACCCCTAAAGTAGAATGCAACCCTTACCTTGGTCATCATTGGGGAAGCAGCATGTGACCATTAAACTTTATACAGATTAGGGTTGTGCCGAATGAGAATACCAATAGACTGATGTGCAAAGTGGGTACACCACAGCCTGCAAATGTTAGGTGCTGACAGAATATCGGGTTTATTTAATCAAGTGCAGGTTTGCCTTGCATCCTAAAGAGTATCTAAACCCCAGAACAAAATTATATTATATTGGGCAGCTTGCCAGTCTTTAGATGTGGTGGCTACATTGGTTTTCTCCAGCTACCCCCTTTCACGTGCTGATCATGTCAGTATTACTTCCTTTCCTAGGGTAACACCTACACAATGTACTATATCTATGAAGCAGCAGTGTTGTGACTCTAGACAAGGAAATGTTTTAGGACTACAGTCCACCTCCCCAACTCCTTACCATGGGGAGGTGATCGAACTCCAGAAGGGCCGATAGTAGTGCTTGAGATTTATGTGCAAAATTGTCAGCTCACTAGAGGAAGTTAGGACCTCACTGGATTTTTAGCAAGAACAGGTTTTCTTGCACTTAACATGCTTTTTAAATGGTATATTTAAACACACCAAAAGGAAGCAAAGAATAAAGGTTTATTGTAATGGTTTATATACATTTTAATAACTGCCTAAAAAGCACACGTCAAGTCCATTTAAATCTACTCCCACAATTTTTTTTTCAGATTGCTGGACCATACCCTTGAACCCCTTCTCTTACCTTGACAGGGTCAAACACAGGTGCATTATCATTGGAGTCTGTTATCTGGATTATAACAGTTGCAGTATTAGTCAGACCTGCCCCTTCCATATCTGCAGCTTGAAGTATCAGGGTATACTCTGGAACTTTCTGCAGAGAAAAAAACATTAAGACATCAGTGACCTGAAATTAAATGTAGTCACTCTTTGCTTGCAATGGCAGAGTAACAGTGAGGCCAAGGATGCATGGAAGTCCCTAGGCTCCACAACATTCAGTGGACGCCCAAGGCTGAGAAAGACCAACTTAATACATGCTCCGCAAACAAGGGGAATGCTCACCTCTCTATCCAATCCTGCTGCAATGACACTGATGAGCCCAGAGACACTGTTGATGGTAAAAAGTCCTGCTATTGGCTCCTCCGGAATTTGCTTTAGAATGGAATAAGCAAGTATAGCATTTGCTGTTGTAGGATCATCAGCATCAGTTGCAGATACATTCATCACAGGAGTACCTGGTGTAAAAGACAAACCGTAAGATGAAAATGCAAGACAGCGAACCCTTGCTTTAATACTCGCAAGTCCATTTATAAATGTTTTACCCAAAATACATACATTTTTCTAATTCTATTAAGGTAAAAAAAAAAGTGTAAATCCTGGGTAAAAACCTTCATATGAGAGTCCACTTTTATCTTACTATGCCAAGATAGCAACTTTACAGACCAGCATACTGGTTCCAGGTCTGACTCAAACCTTCGTGAACCCAGTGGGTTAGCATAACCCCCAACCATCTGAGGGGGAAGAGAAGGGAGGTACACCTTCCAGCACAATGTATTTAGGCAATGGACACATCCATGTTATGAAGACCATTAATTTATATTCCAAAAATGATTGGTTAAACCCAGAATTGTTTCTTCCCCACCATTACTTTATTATAGTGGCTTTTCAAAATCGCAAACAAGACAAGATGAGATAAAAGGTTTTAATGCATAACCCCACTTTCTATAGCTTTTTAGAATATCTTCATAGATATCTGTACATCCAACCAAAAAGAGGGACAGCTAAAAGAGAAAAGGGGGACAACCCCTTAAAAGGGACCGTTGAGATATGGATCAGTGTTCTAGCAGACAACTGCAATTATTCCCCTTCTAACGATGCTAGCCAAATATTTCCCTCTGGAAAGGTTTATTTCAATCCTTATGAATTACATTTGTCACGGAGAACACTCAGCAGGGAATGCCCATCTCACCTGGCTGGACGCCTTCCCTCACAGAGCCCCGGAATACTGCCTCTGTGAACTGGGGTCGGTTGTCATTCTGATCAATGACAACGACTGTAATATCCATTGGTTCTTCCACCTGCTGACCATTTTCAGAGACCGCATGAGATTGCAGCTGTAGCACAAAATATATATAAAAAGGAAGGTTACTCTTCAGTTGCAGAAATACTACAAGCATTGTGCTGTCACTATTTACTATCCACACATTGTAATTTAGCCCAGAGCAGAGGATACTCACCTTGTATGAAGCGTATTTCTCTCGATCCAATGGGCCCGTTACCTGCAGCCAGCCGGTCTCCTTCTCTATGGTAAACACACCCACGGGAGGAGTGTCTGCACCCTGTCCAGTGATGCTGTAGAAAATCTTCACATTTTTGTTGGATTTAATCTAGGTGTAAAAAAGCAAAAACAATCAAAAGCTTGTAAAGTCATTTTGACATCTACCATTTTATTTATCTTTCTTTGAGTGCTAAAATATTTGCGTTTGTCCCAAAACTGGGCCATCTAGTCAGTGCTGAATCAGGCCTCTAAATCAGACCTCAGGGTTAACCAGGACAAATAGAGGCAATCCCCAAGGGGAACAAAAGTGGTTCTAACCCTGCACCACCAACCTAAAAGGTTTTGGCTCTAAATAAACTTAAAAAACCTCTCCCAATGGGTGACCTGGACCAGTTCTGGTCAGAATAACAGCCCAAAAAAAAAAAGTTTGCCCACTATTCCCAAGCAGATCATGAATTTCATTTTTAATTCATTAAAAGACCAAGGCCACCATGGGAAAATTATAGTGAGACTTAATGACCTTCACTACCAAATTCAAAAGTAGCCTGACTCTTACCTGTACCAAGGGCCTTGGGAAAGTCCCCCTGGCATTTTCAGACACCTGGATGGGTGGGACGACCCAGTCCCTCTTCCTTCTCTTCAAGCCAGCCTGCTTCTCTGGGAAGATCAGCACCGAATGTCTGCCTTTACGATGGTTTTTCTGCACACAAAAGAATTAAGGTGTGAAAACGGAGTATCGAATTAAACTGCCCTGTACAAACTGGTATCCTGCAGGTTATCTTGGCGCTGCAGCCATGTCAGATGAAGCACCGCAGCACTACAGCAAAGTTAAAATCACCCAGGAACATGTAAAATTTGGGTACTTAAAACAAAAAGACAAACAGGATAAAATGTAAATGTAAAACTTTTTCTGCCAGTGCACCAACAATGAGTAAAGCCAATACCTCTTTAGATCTGTGTAGTCTCTTTATAGTAACAGTAGCAGAGTATTTATTTCCCTGTGCATCCCACGTTGTGACCGGGAACTTTATTTCATGCCCATGAAGCGCGACATGCCGTTTTGGGATCAAGCCGCCATCCTCCGTCACCAAGAATCGAGAGTCTCCCACATCATATCTGCTGTGTTTTCGTGCTGTGCAGTCAACAAAATCCACTGCAGGAAAGGGGGAGACAAAAACAAAACCAGCTTAAAACGGTGCACAATAATAGCAATAAAAAAAAGACTGAGCAATATTTTACTGTGCACCTCCAATAGCCATTCAAACGCAACCCACTGACAAGTGACTAGAAAGATTACACAAGTGTATTGTAGAAAAGATGTATGTGGCCAGTATCCTTGGTGAAAAGTGGATTAGCTTTAATCCTGAAGAAGCAGCCCTGGCTTCTTACAAGTCTTAGATATTTCAGAAGGAAGATCTCCATGCCATAATAGCCAAATATGTTCCTGTCCATCTGGGGTCCTGGATGTTCCTCTTGCTGGATTTTTTACTGTATATTGACAATGCGCCAAAGAGTGTGGACCCCCTCACATGGGCACAACAGACCCAGGAACCTAGCACAGATCGAGGCAACTCAGGTAGTTTAAAAAACATGCATACCACTGGCAGTGCATAGGTTGGGGTGGGGTGACATTGTGAGCCTTCTGGCAACATCCTTGCAAAGCCGAGGATCCCAAATTGTGTGAGTAGACACTTCTGCACTGGGCCAAGGGGCCTTTGTGCAATATTTAGTATACTTATTTAGTATACTCAGGATCTCTTCTGAAGGCCTAGACTACAGCCTGGCATAGACTGCACAGGCAGAAGCTGGGGTATAAGGCAAGTATATTTTTTCACGATTAGAAAATGTCTGAAAACATGAAGGGAAAAAAAAAAAAAAGAAATGACATGCGATACAAGTCTGTAGTCCTCCGTTCTAATCCGACTTCAAATCTTTGGTCACAAGAGGCCATCAGTGCATGCAATCATGACATAAGGTCTCACGGGCCATCCAAAATAAATAAACTTACACCGGTTGGAGTTTTATTGAGGATAGCAAATCATCCTCAAACCTGCATAGATTAAATGCACACTACGACTTGGACAGAGGGGGTCCAATAAGATACATATATTGGCACAATTAACCACCTTCCCCAGAAGTCAATAGTACAATTGTAGTTCTAAACACAGATGTATAAGCCACACACAGCAGACTTGTAAGTGATTTCTTCAAACAGTTTAAATGTAATACAAGTCACCTGTTTAGTCATTTGAATCATTCACAAAAAGCCCAGATGTATCAGCAATCACCACTTCAGGTGTCCAAACTGCATTCCTCAAGGGTAACTTCAGGTCGCCTCTGAAATGGTCATGGCCAATACTACATACACATCGGGGCTTTTTGTCAATGATCCGTGTAACTCATCCTGTGGCATTTGACCTATTCTTCCTTTCTGAACAAGTCTGCCATGAGTGGCTTATGCATGTGTCCATAACTACAACTGCACTATTTCTGTGGAAGGTGTGTTATAACTGTGTGGACTGCAATATTAGACTATTCGTGAATTACAATATACGTATATAGGTGTCTAGTTGGATCCCGCCTCTATTCAAAGAAGTCGTGGTGCATGTTCCATGATGCTATAGGATTTAACTCCAGATTGGGTGCAATACGTACCCTTACCTATGAAATGCTTCTCATTTGCAGGCAATGGGAAGCCCAATACACAGTTTACACCGTTACATGGGGATCAACTGCAAATACATCAATGAAGCGCCAACCGTGAAAGTTTTGGAAAAACGGAGACCTTGATACATCATGATTGCGTGACCCAGTTGCAATATTTATTACAGAATATTGGATGCCTTTGTGACCAACAACTTGGTCATTTTGGAATGGTGGACTATATATTGTTATGCTCTGGGCTGCAACGTTTATACAAAGTGGAAAGTCATATAGCCTCAAAGACATTAAAATTGACACATTGATATACTTTACTGAACTTTATATGTATACCACACATATCCATGTTTATTCAGAATTTAATGTTTTATGGGCATTGCTGAATACCCCTCTACAATAAAAAGGATATATCATTTTGTATTATTTCCCCACATGAAGTATAGAGATCCAGGAATTCCCTTTTCAGGCTTGTGCTCAGTTACTCAGTCTGAAGAAAATGAGGGTGTTGATTTTTAGATGGCAAGAGCTAGAAAACATTACAGAATATATAGATGTCCCACGTAGTACTATACAAGCAAGCATGATGGACATGATCCATAGTGTTTTATTCCTTTTACAGGTGAACTAAACAAGCCCAGCCAATTTAGTGTAAATCAGGATATAACACAATGACATCAGCTTGGCTAACATCTGAGCTGGCAACAGGAAATGTGTTAAGTTCAATCAGTGAACACATGTTTGGTAGGTACAGAGGGTGTGAAGCACACCATAAAATGGAGTACAACATACTAGTGTGAGTGCAACAAACGACATGGCCTCTGGGAACAGTCAGACATGACAACTGCAACATGAGGTCAAGTGCATTTTTATTGAACACATTTTGTGCTTTTACAGTAACGTCTACCTTAAAGTAATTGCTATGGCTTCCATATTTGACATGCTTGCTCTTCCCCATTTATTGAACAAGGCTTAGAAATTCAGACTACCCACAGCAGGGGTTTGGATTAACACAATGAGGATACATGAAACTGGTCTCCGACATGTACATCTAAAACATTGATAAGTCTAAATAGGCAAATGACGTAACCGATTATAAAAAAAAAAGAAAAAAGCATTCACTGGCACATGTCCATGAAGAGTGACTTGCTGTGGCTTTACAGACAGGCTGAACTGTTACAATAAGGAAGTCCCGGCAGGCCAGGTAATCACTGGATTCAATATCGACTTGCAGATTCTAGTATGCAAGATTTTATAACTGGCGTTCAGCTTGTTTGCTATGCGGAAGAAAAAACGCTGAACCATGACTGGTTGCTGTGTGAAAACTCAATTGCAAATACAACCAACGTCTAAGGAAAGCCAATTTACACCTAGGGTGCCACAAACAGTATCAAAAATGATATTTTGATGGGATTTATGGAGCAGATTTGATGACAGAACAAGTGTCTTGCCCACAGCAGTTGGGTGTCTGGGACCACCACATCAGAAGTGCAGTTTAGAGCCCCAACACAGGTTGAACATTCTGGGATCCTCCACGTACAGAAATCAAAATCACATGAGGCCAGTGCAGACATGAAACGCCTGGAGGGCCCAACAGCATAAAATCATTTGAAGCTCCGTGCACCCCTGGGAAATCTAACAATACCAGTGCTGACATAACAGTAATAATCTTGTAGAATGATAGAAGTGCTGCCAGCTGAGGTGGTGACGAGATCACACTGAATTGCACACCATGCAGCCGGTAAACCTGAAAAACTCAGCCGTCTACACAGGCACATAGCATGGATCAAGTTGTAAAGACAGACCCAGAGAGACTGAGCAGAGGGGCTGCATGACTGGGGGGAGGAATAGTCCCTGGAGAAGTGGTTAAAAATGGGAATTAGCTGATCTTACTTGATTGGAGGTTGGGTCAGGTGTCTGGGAGTGTTGGGACTGCAAGGGGCATTTTCCGGAAAGTCGACAGAGGAAGGTGGTCTCACCTGCCCTCCCTTTATTTTGAGGTTTGATGGTTGCAAAGTCCTTTATGTCAGGACAGCTTGGCGGGTTAGGGGGTCACACAAATGGGGGGCCATCAGCTGGTATGGGTGCTTTCCCCTGTTGGTGTCAGTATATGTCAGGGGGCCTGCCCCCTCGGAACTTGGGAGCAGTAACCGTCCTCGAGCTGGCTGGGGACAGGGGAGCAGTTTTTTTTTTTTTTTAGAAGAGGCGTTATTTGGGCACCCAAATACCCCTTCTCAGATCAAACAGTCATTAAGATTATTTGCATATTTTGTTTATTACTTTGGTTATGAACTTTGGTTTGGTTAATAAAAGGGCTGCTGTGGCCATTTAAATCCATGACGCGCAGTCTGTTTATTGTGGTTTTTAATAGATGGACGTAATCGACGAATCCATCACTCAAGACAGACCACAGGTTTCAAAAGTTATGGTATAGAATATGCTGAACCGGCCCTAAACAGTGACATGGGTAGACGACAAGAGCGGACAACCTGTGGAAAGGACATATTAGAACTTTAAGCCCATGAACCTGAAGATTACCATCGCCTGCCTTTATCAAATGCCTATAACCAGCTTCTGTTTATGGAGTGCAGGGGAAGCCCATGTACACAATATATACAGTCAGCCCCTGGTGGAATGTTCATGTTTTTAGTTCTCCTTTATAATAAGCCTTTATGTCCATTTGAACCTCATGTCGTCAGCAAGGACTTGAGATGGACAGCCCTTCTCCATGATCATAGGAGGAACGTTTATACTACCATCACCGTAAGGATCTATGATGGAAAGACATTGAACTGAATTTTACATCATTTATTGCCAAGCAAGAAGAGGGGGGGGGAAAAAACCCTTGACCGCTCCTAAATGACCAACTGATGAGGCACGTGCCCAGAATGAGCTGCTGAAAACACAGGAAGGCTTAGGAGTAGGTCAGCACCTCGGTATGGCTCCTTGCTGTAGAAAAGATATCTGAATAGGAGGTACAGGAAGATAGGTAAATAATGAAACCTCTATTCATGGCAAACAAAGGTCATACTGTGCAAACACACTGAAGCTTCAAACCAGCCAACCACCCCCCCCCCCCACCACATTAATTTGGTCTTGGCATGCGTTACAGAAAGCCCCAACCAACCCATCTTCAAAATACTAATTGCCTAACATTTCATTTTGCTCAATGAAGGCTACGCAGTCAAGCAGAACAAAGCAGCAGCACAGAGGTTGATCACAGGTTATGATTTACATTGTGCTGGTAGCACCACCAAGCTTCAGCTGTGGCCTGCAACAGAGGGCAGCAAGTATTGCACAGAATCATGCAACAAGATACTGCAGTCCAGTCAGAAGCATTAAACCTGGTAGCAATTAAAGAGTAGTCAGATTTAAAAATTTACAGATACTGGTGCAATGCGACTGGTTAGAAGCAGGTTCACCTCAATATGTAACACTTTAACAAGGGTAACATGTAAAAGTTGTAAAATGCCTTTTCAGGTTGGCATTATGCAG